ACTGAGGCTATCTCGTTTAAAGACCGTGTTATTGCCAAGGCTATCTGTTCATCTTCACTAAGCCCTAGAATAATTTTTGAAGGCGATGGTTATGAGTCTTTTCGTAGTGAGTGCAATGTCCAAAGATATAAATGAGGGAGAAATTACCTTGATCGTTAGATGGCAAGACATTACTGTTATCTCGAAATGGATCTGGATTATTAAAAGAATTCGGATCCTGACTTTGGTGATAGATTTGTGGACTAGTAGAAGCATTCTGATCTTGGCTTCGATGATAAATTTGTAGGTTTGTAAAAGCGTTCTGATTTTGATTTTGTGGGAAATCAAATTCGTCAACGTTGTATCTGCGAGTGAGGGTTTCTAAATCGTATTCACTTTCGAAATCTTCGTATTCGCGAGGTTGGCTTCTAAAATCCGCGGTAGGTTTTATTTCTATTTCATATACCTCGTCTTCATCGTCAGATGTCCCATTAAAATCGTCCAGAGAAGAAGTGTATTGATCATACCCCTCATCTTGATGATCCTCCGTTCCCTCATGGTCTCTTGTGAATACGCTGATTCCTTTTGAACGAGGAATAGAGTTAAATAAGGTTTTAAACTTTTTACCAAAAGTCATCGTTCGAAAAACTTTTTTAGATTGCTGATAATAGTGGGTTAGTGATAACTCGTATATATACGAAAGAAATTATGTCGTATTGGTGTTCGTTCGTTGTTGATCGGTAATCTTTTTTCTAAAAACGATCTCTCATTTAAGAATATGAACTCACGGAAGTTTTTCTAATTCTTTGTACCGTATCGACTGAAATGGTTCATTGATTCACATTCATTTTTACTATATGTGCAGCGTAACTACAGTATATCTTTCAATTATTGTTTATCTGCCTTTATTCTTACAGATTAGGAAAGATAAAGCACAAACGCAACAGGGTGATACAGCCTAAACAATGATACAATAAATATCAAACATCAACGTTCAAACTTGTAAATAAGCTTTACATAGTAAGAAAGCCCTTTAATACGATTGATTTCACGGTCCTAACACCAGATTCAATTTATAACTTCAGAGAATACAATATCTCGATGTATATTCGGTTGGCACTTTTAAGAACACGGTAGTGATGATAGAATTATCAAATATTTGGCGTCAATCCACAAAACAACCAGCAATGACTGATACTGAAATAGAGGTCCGTACAACACCAACAATCACTTTGTTGACAGTTCATTTTAGTTGTAAACTACGAGGTTTAATAAAATGGGAGCTCCGATGCTTTCGCCATATATACAAATCAGGGACTTCTCCCTAATTGCTACATTATCGTGGCATCTGATAGAAGTACACAAATATAACTCTTTTTATTTACTCCTTACATTTTATAAAGGAATTGTAAAGTATATAAATATAACAAATACAATAAAGAGCACAATAAAATAAAGGCTTTTTTTTAAAAAAAAGTTTATAATTTGATTTATGAATTAAAATATTTATAATTTTTTTTTTAAGATTTTTTTTTTTTAATGTTATTATTTTTATTTTTATTGTGTTAATATGTTTGTTTTTTTATACTATACTATAAATAATTTTATCCTAAAGATACAGTATTATATAATAAAAAATATGATCACAAACAATTTGATTTGATTTGAGCTTTTAAAAAAGCCATTAAATATATGGTATATACGATATACTGTATCTACTTGGTTAAACATGTTTCGACCAATTTAAAAACTTAATTAACAATTTTTTTATGATAAGATGATTTTTA